ATGCTGCAAATAAAATAAAATATTTTTTAGTCAAGAAGACGTTCAGGCTTGTGCCTTTGCAAAAACTGGTTTTCAAAGTACACTTTAAATATTCACCAAAGTAAATGTGTTAGGCCTATAACTAGCCATTTTTATTTTACTTTTTAAGAATTGTAATATAGCAATTAAAATAGCTGAACTGCAAAGTATTAAGCGACAAAGTAATAGTACACCTTTCTCTTTTTTATCATCCAAGTTTAGCATGTTATTTTAAGCAGTGAAAATGAATCCTTAATTACATTTATTCTTTTGATTATGCAAAAGTTCCTTTATAAAATAGAGTCATTGCAGCATGCAGATGGATTGCATGCTAAAAGTATGTTTTGGGCTTATTAGAAAGGTTTAAACGGCACATTTTAGGAACTGGGTAATGATAATGTCTTGAATGATGCTGAAGAGTGTTTGGGTGTTTATGGTGTCTGTGGCGCAGATGAAGTGAGAGTAAATGCTTTTAAAGTTCTCTGTTTCAGTGCTAACCACTTTCTCTTCATGCAATCCTGGATGAACAGCATGATATCTTTATCGTCTCGAGGCTTGCCTGAAGGTGGCGCCAAACCACTGAGGAGAGGAAAAGCAACTCCGCTATGCATGACAAACAAGAGATGACACGTGCAGGTGCTTCTCAAATGGAAGACTGCATCCTGAGGTTGAGTCCTTCCTAGAGCAGTCCTTCTGAAGCTTCAAAACTTCAGGGCTGTGTCCAAAAACTTCAGCAGATGACTTGTTGCCTCACTGCCCTGTCAGGTGACCTCCTAAAAGTGATTTCAGACAGACTTCTGCAATTGATCTACAGCAAAACAGAGAGAGCCCTGATAGTCTATTTGACATCTGCATTTATATCTGCAAGACATATTTTTTTAGAGTGTTTGCTCATCTGCAATATGTCTATTGGACGTTTCCTATCAGATGTCAAATATAGACGTTTAGAAAATGTCTTTAAGATGTTTATGATTTAATAGAATGTATGTAAAACTGACATCTTAAGATGCAGGTGCTTTCCAGATGAAGCGATTTTTAACAGATGCGTGCTATCTGGGAGAGCTTTGATGATAACTAAGCAGACATGTAATTACTACAATACTAAGTTCTCACTAGAAATGACATCTAAAGTGGGAAAAGTTGGTTAAAAATGCACATTTAGGGTCTGCAGTTCCTTCTTACTTCCATCTGAGGTAATCAAATTGTTGAGTTGTTTGTTGAAAGGATTTGCTAGAAGTCTGGGAAGGCAGAAACTTACATCCTTGTTGTTCTCCTCCAGAACTTGGTCGTTCTTGCTGAGAAAACCTAGTGAGTGATGTCACATCCTCAAAGCAATAGATCCACTTCCTTCTCTGTCTCATCCACTTTTCTATTTGATCTGCTGTAGTGAATTCGCATCAGGCCTGGATTTGTCCTTAAAATGTTTCCTTCTTCCTTTCTGTCATATTTCATAATGTCATAATGGCTCAACCTGTATTTTCTTTGGTTTGGAGTAAATCATGATAGAATCATGACAGTATTTGGGGGTACTGTTCCTTAAAATCTACAGCATAACCTACATTGTTATCTTGATTGCTCATTGCCATACCTGTGAACATCTCAATACTAATGCACTGCATTTCACATTTTGCAGAGGGGTACAACTAGGAATGGCTGTCACTTCCCCCCCACCAATTAATTGTTTACATAGTTTTAAGTATCTGTTTTGATTTACTAGATTACTTTTTAGGGAGAAAGGGGCTAGTTGTCACACAGGGAAGTTGTTTTATATATATTGGGACTGGTTGTCTCATTTCATTACGTTTTCTGTTGACCAAAACAATGGTTTATTGCTGTTTAAACATTTTAGTGGGCTATGTATTCTTTTATGCAGAAAAGTCCAATATAAGCATCATTGTCAAAAACTAATCGGTGAACTGTTATCTTTTAATAGACAACTGAATTTTACCAACAACAGTACAGATAGTCAAGTGCTGAAATAGTACCTAGCAACTACAGGATCAGTAACTTTTAAATAGCTCCAGGTAAAATACTGGACCCAGTTTTTTGACTCTTTTCTTCCAAGCAGTTTCCACACAGTGTCGATAAAGAGATAGGAATCACCTGCAAATCTGCACCTTAATTCTCTCTTACAGAAGCGCCATTTGTCTGTGAATGGTTTTAGTAATAAACTTTGTATATGAATATATATGTTTTATATATTTTATGAAACTATTAAAGGTGTTTTATTAAAATATATAGAGAGGATAGGGCTTCTCCAGATATGTTTGACTAGGAATGGGCGTTGTCCATTCAGTCGAATAGCAGGGTTTGTGGCGAGACACGCCCCGCGAGCTCCACAGCCGTTCCTCCACCGACCTTGCCTCGTTCCAGGCCCCGCCCCTTCGAGCGCTGCCTTCTTCGATTGGCTCGGCGCTCTGTCACTCACGCTCCATTTTCCAGCTGTCGCAGCTCCAGGTTTGTTTAGCTAATTAACTTTTCGGGTTTTGGATGCTCAAAATCAAATGTTTGCACTGTTGTCAGTGTTATATATACACGCAGCGTTTCTAAAAGCGCATATGGCTGTCTTCTGCCACCTGTCGCCGTGTGTTAGCTAGAGATCCGGGCAGCTGATGGACAGTGTTGCGGTGAATCTGGGCACTGGGGCGGTTAGCTTAGCGAGACAGCAAAGGACAGCACGGATGTCGTGGCAGGCTAGTTTGTCCCTCCGGGACTCTGGTTGGTAGTCATTACAGATTCTAAAAACAGGGCTTGAGCGGGTCTGATAGTAGGGGAGCTCTTTAGATTCACATCTGACCTCCAATCTCATCCAGTCTTTGGCCTTGTTTGATAGATCCGTTTGTATGAGCAGGCTGGGGTCTATTTTACTTCATCGATTTACGTCTACCATAAGGCATCCTGTATTTTTAAACAACATTCCCCCAGATCCACCCTGTTCCTCTTTCGACGCGGTAGCAAAGGGAAGCGGGTCGTAGAAGTGTGCCAGATCAGGGTTGGGATCTCCAAACGCTGTGGTGATGACTTTGGAGTCCATGATGGCCTGTTGCATGACTGAAGAGGCGAAGGAGTCCAAAAGAATCAACGCCGAGATCGACAAGCAGCTCCGGAGAGACAAACGAGATGCGAGACGAGAGCTCAAACTCCTCTTACTGGGTAAGTGCATCGCTGACAGCTGCTGCGACCGTCAATTATGGCCGAGAGATGCACGAGGTTTGACATGAACGCATATTGCTTTGTGGATCTAATGCATAGTGATGCTGACATGCTGCTTAATTCGAAATAGAAGTGTTGCTTTCACAACTTGTCATTCGTGTGCATGATTTCAGTTTATGTAATTCATGCACGTGTTGATCTGCGTTGTTTTTTTCGGGTTGTTGGATATTGCACATGTCCACATGTCAAAAATCCTATGGTGATGGAATAGTCATCTTAATGTAGACCCAGTTCTAATGGGATCCTGCGTTCCCACGGTAGTGGAAATATAAAGGAGTTTCATGGAATATTACATAATGAATGAGCTTGTTCTTTAAGTATTGTAAAAATATAGGCTACTTAAAAATTCTATAATGAATATATGTGTTTTAAAATATTTATCGACTTATAAGCATAGTCTGTATAATTTTTTAAACCTGTGATATCTTGTAATCAGATGACTGGAGAAGTCATGGAAATTCATTGGTCAATTGGTATGGGAAGCATAAGGATCAAACATGTTTTTTTTGTTGTTGTTTTTTACAAGGGTATGAAACTATACAAAACCCGTTAAACTGTTACTGAAAGTCTCCATGTTAATTTATTAGCATAGCAATGAACATTAGTAAGTGTCTTTGAGTTGCACTAGTGTCAGTTTATATTCATCTCGAGATCTGACCAGTAAGGCCGCTCTTTGCTTTCGTTTTGGTGGCAGAGCCATTAGCTCATTTGTGGCTGTAAGCAAAGCTAGATTGTCAGCAATTTAAGCCTAAGAGATTGTATCTGAATATTTCAGTAGCGTAGAGCGTTTCATAACACACGTCCTTACATTGTTCTCAGATCGGAGAGATGCAGTAACTATTAAAATAATTAAATCAGAGCCTTAATTTGAAACTCGGGTTGCAAAATCTATTTAGGACAGTGTTTCTGCATCCCAGTTTATGACTGGTGAAGTCAAAGAAGGTCCAGATTTGATCTTTTCTGGTTGTGTCTCTTTTACTGCTCCTTGGCAGGCACAATGAGACTATGAAGCGCCGACGTCGAGAATTAAACCTGTTCTGTCCAGGTTGTGGTTTTTCAAGCCAATCCTGTTCCCAAAAATGGCAAAAACTGCCCTAATCTGGCTGCCACGCTCCAAGTTGCTGTTAAAAAACGGTGTATTTGGTTAGAGAGGGATCCTCAAACTGCGTAGATGAACAGACACGGTCACGGGGCCTTGTTGTGTAGTGTGGGCTGACCCACAAAAGCGTTTCACAGAACGCATATCCTTAGAAAGCTCATGCAACACAACCAGCCTTTGTGCACAGACTCACAGAGGAAAGACAGCAATAAGATACGCCTCGGTGGAGGAAGAGGGCCTTGCGTGACCAACAAGCGCTGTTAACCTTCTGCTTCTAGCTCGGTAAGCTCTCGACCGCTCTGTCTAGAAGCTGAGAGGAAGCTGTCACCGCACAGGGCTTGCGATGCCACTTTCTCAAAGAACAGCAGATTTGAATTTTGTTAAAGGGGTGGTTCACTGGGTTTTTTCTAGGCTTGATTGTGTTTATGGGGTGCAGTCTTACATGTGTTAATGCTTCTAGTAGCAGTCTGTTACGTACATTCTACTCAACAATAGTAATATATTTCTGCCAATGCCCTCAAGTTAAACCGAACTTTTATTTTGACGGGTTGCCGTGAATACAATTAATGTAATGGTATTCACGGCAACCCGTCAAAATAAAAGTTCGCTGTAGTCTGTGTGTGTATGACATGATGATAGTTTTACTCAAATGAAACGGTCAAATGCTCATGAAGTGACTCTCGGAGCAGTTCTGGAGATGTTGTTCGTGTATTTATGTCCTCATTAGTGAGACGGCAGAGGTTAATATCACCGGATTCAGCTTTGTAACTTTGCAGATATTGTTTATGCTCAAACAGCAACATTAGACACTAACTAACGTTAAAAAAAGTGAAATCGCAATGAACCACCCCTTTAATTTGCTTCTGCGGGTCTTAGAAAGATCTTCAGTAAGTTTCATTTCCACAATTTAAGGCCTTAAAAAGATTTTAAATAAGAGCAGAACGTCTTAAATTCATAGTCACGGCATTAAATGTTGCATGTGTTGCTAAAAATGAATATCTTCCTCAGTATTTTTGTCATTTTCCAATACAAATTTTTGAAACATCCTTAAATCAAGATTCTTGAGATGCAAACTGAACTTCTGAGAAATTGAACAAAATAAAGTAAGTTTATGCTTAAAATAAAAAATATCTGTCTTTGAGGTATGAAAACTAGTTTTACCTTTTAATTAAGTTTGAGGTATTTGTTGTTGTTTCAGTCATAAACTCACTTCATTTTGATCAGTTTCACAGAAACCTAACTTCTTATGCCATTTTGCTTCTCAAGTAACTTTATCTTGATTTAAGAATATTTTGACATTTGTACTGGAAAGCAGGCCAAAAATACTAAAGAATATCCCTTTTTTTGCTGTGTGATTAGAAGGTGCAAGTTATTTCTATATTCTAGTGGTTGGGAGCTTTTTTTTTTTTTTTTGGTAAAATGAATTAAAAAGTAATGGAGATCGGTTGGAAGTTGCACTTTCAAACTTTGAAGTGTTTCTAAAACAACTCTTTGTTTGCTCCCTAGACATTTACCTTTAAACAATGTATTGATGTATTGCGCTCCTTTCAGTTTATTCCTTAAATCTTTATTTGGTTTTCAAAAGGTTTTAAAGTCTTAAATTTGCCATCATAAAACCTGCAAAACCCTGTGTTTATTCTTGTAATTCCACTTTTTAAGGTTTATAATGTCCTTTTTTTTTCTTTGTGGTGTTCTACAGAAGTTCTCAAACACTTTGCCGTCATCCCCCAAGGTTATTCCTAGAAAAACGATTGTTTTGGATGTCTGGTTAAACTGGATTCTTAAAGCGTGGTTAAATAAGCATGATATGTCTTTGCCCTCGCTCTGAATATTTGATTAACTTGTTAGCGTGACTGTCTTTCCTGACATGATGTAGCTTCCTTCCAAAGTAATGTGCAGTGGTTTGCTGCATGTCATGCTCAACATTTATTTGAGGTTCGATGTTTGTTCAAACTCTAGAAGGTGTTTATCTTCTGTATTCCAGCTATTTGAACCTTTTTTTCTGATTACATTACTAGAATTACATATTTTTTACTTTAATTAGATTATTGTTTTGATAAAATATTCCCTCAAAGTTGTCGAAATTTGGAAAGCGTAAAAATATTTAATCAATCTCCCGAAAACTGGTAGTATTAATAAGTAACTAATTAGTATTAATAGTATAGCATTAATGATAACCAATTGAGTTACTTTTAGTATTTTGACAATTCGAGTGTAGCAGAAGAACTGTTTTAGCACGACTTCAACTTTAAAAAGTCTTTTTTTTTTTTCTAACACTTTTTTTTTTTTTTTTTTAATAAAATGAAAGTATTACATTGCAAAAATAATAAGTAAATTAAGATTTAAAGAGGAATGAGCTGATATAAAAATTGACCAATAATTATTTTCAGGTTTTGGCTGATAATTGTTTTCATGTTTAGTCGATACTAAAAGTTGCGAGATGCTGAAAATGAATTTTGGCATCACGACATTATAATGTACAGTAAAAAAGATGAAGGTAATATAAATATAAAATATAGCTGAAAGCCAGATAACTGGTATGATACCGATATATTGTGAATCCCTAGATGTAAACATTGCAAGAAGTGAGCACAGACTCAACGAAACGATTTTGACATTCATCGTCAGCTATTTTCATTTATCAATTTGCATGATTTTGACAAGTTAGTTGTTGCAGCCCAGCGAGTATAAGCTGTGTTTTTGTTCTTTGGTTGAGGAACTGAAGATACAGGGTGATTGAGGTAGAGAGAAGCCTGTGTGTGTGTTGGCGTTCTCTGCTGGGGGGACTTGAGCCGAGGACAGCCACTCTTCATTTTCAGCCCACACTTCTGCTGCACACATGAATGCACGCTGTTGCTGTGTCACATGATCCGGATGCAGAGATCCAGAGAGAAAGAAAGCAAGGAAAAGGATCTTGTCTGTCACTCACTTGAATACCTTATTCACGAAAACGTGCTACTAAGCAACTCGTTTCTGGCGTGGGCACGTCTGAATGACAACCCGGACTTCCAGGTTTCTTGTTACGCCACACGGTCAGCTCTAGCCAATATTTACCTAGCCGAGTCGAAAGCGCGCAGAGTGTTGCAGAGGAGCTGGATGACTCATAAAGATTGTACAGAATGTTTGTTTTTTGGACACACCTAGAACAAAGCTGACACTGTTCTCATGCAACCAACATATGGCCTGTTTTCGTTTCACTTTATCACTAGTGAAGTCTTTGTGTCCTTCAGTTTCTCTATACGAACTGCATGGAAGCTGAATTTGAAGTATTACTCGGCCCACTCGCGATGAATTGTTCTCGAAAGTGCGGACAACGTGTTTTCAGCCCACACTTCTGCTGCACACATGAATGCACGCTGTTGCTGTGTCACATGATCCGGATGCAGAGATCCGGAGAGAAAGAAAGCAAGGAAAAGGATCTTGTCCGTCACTCACTTGAATACCTTATTCACGAAAACGTGCTACTAAGCAACTCGTTTCTGGCGTGGGCACGTCTGAATGACAACCCGGACTTCCAGGTTTCTTGTTATGCCACACGGTCAGCTCTAGCCAATATTTACCTAGCCGAGTCGAAAGCGCGCCGGAGTATAGAGTCTATAACACCTGAGTGTTGCAGAGGAGCTGGATGACTCATAAAGATTGTACAGAATGTTTGTTTTTTGGACACACCTAGAACAAAGCTGACACTGTTCTCATGCAACCAACATATGGCCTGTTTTCGTTTCACTTTATCGCTAGTAAAGTCCTTTGTGTCGTTCAGGTTCTCTATATACACTGCTTGGAAGCCGAATTTGAAGTATTACTCGGCCCACTCACGATGAATTGCACTCGAAAGTGCGGA